CGGGGGGCACGAGTCATCGTCCTGAAAGGGAAAGAGAGAGGGAGGAGGTGGGGGGCAGGAGAGAGTGCAGGCGGCACGCCGCCGCGCACAGCCCTCGCGCTCTCTCCCTCTCACCTCGCCCTTCCCCCCGCGCCCGCTCACTCTCGCTCTTTCGCAGTAGAAAGTTGTGTTGAACTTGGCGCGGGGCACCAAGTCCAAAGGGTCCCGAAAGGACAACCGCGCGTTGTCCGCCCTCAAAAGATCGGGTGCCGACATGTTGGATGCGGCAGTTAAAACTTCGTAAGAGGGGAGTTTCTTTACGTCTCCCCGACACTGCCGAGCGGAACGCATCTGCGAGACCGCCAAGTCAAATCCAAATGTACGACATGAAGCAATAAGACCAGAGCAACGACACGAACTCCGGCCGGGCTGACGGGACACGCCAGCGCCAGCCCGATCAACAGTTGTCCGATCCTAACGTCCACTTCCTTGGCTCGCGGGGCGACGCCCGCCGCGTCGCTCGGCTCGCCCGGGCAACGACCTGGCCGCGAGGCTAGAGACCCGCGCGCCTCGCGCCGCGACGCCGCCCGCCGCGTCGCGGTCACTCAACCCGCCGCTATCACGAGTGCGGCTCGTAGGCGGAAGCGCCTCGGCCAGCGCCCTCCGCTATCACAAGAGCGTCACAGACTCATCCTTAAGCGCGCTTAACTCTAGAGAGGTCGGGGCCCTAGGGATACCTACGTGCATTGTGGTAGTTGACGACCCCGTTGAGGATGCCCTTGAGGATTGGTAACTCGTCACCCATTGTATTCCAAGGTGGGTTGGTAATCCGTTTGGTATATCACAGATGCACTCACTTTCACTAACTATTATGTACAGTAGTTTCTTTGCAGTAGTAAATTCACTAGACGTAATCCGATATGGCACTTGATGAGGCACAGACGCACACACACACTGATGCACTTTCACTGGTCATCACACACTGATGCCGGTGACGACGAGGGTAATCCAAAGAGGCGTTGGTGGTGTGTCGTCCTTTTGCAGGTGCAGTGGTATAAATCCCGTTTGGTATCCAAGAGGAACTCGCTCTTCCGCAGGCGATGTAGGGACAGCGGTTCGGACTGGTGCGGCATAGCCACCGGCGCGCTGTCACTGCGGACTACGGACGCGAACGACTGCGGCGCAGTGTGGGCGGGGGCGGGCTGAAGCGAGGCGTCCGCTGCGACCTCCTCGCTGCATTCCCTGCCTGAGACTGCCGGCCCAGCGTGCTCGGCCGGCCCGCGCCCGCGCCGCTCCCGCCCGCCCGATCATCGCTCTCTCTCGCTCCCGCGCTAGCAGACGACGCGCGCGGGGCCCGTTCGGCTCGCGCTCGGCTACGCTCGGCTCCCGCTCGGGTCCGCGCTCGGCGCAAGGCCGCGGTGGGGGGCCCGGCCCCCCCACTCCTCCACGCCCACACAGCCGCGCGCCGCGCCGCGCTCCCCACGCGTACAGCCCGCGACCTTGAACTTGTCAGCCGCCACCCGCCGCCACGCCTCGCCGCGGGGCCCTCCGCGGGCCGCCAGAGCAACAAACCGCTTTAACGTTCACCGAACCACCAGCACCAGGCAAAGTAAAGTGCGCATCACGGCATTGCATATCGACCGGCAGTAGTCGGATCAGGCGGGGCAGGACGCCGCGCGCAGAAGGTCCCCGTCTGGCAGGACCCCCAACGGGGCCCCGGGCCCAGGCAGAGCCGGCAGAGCCCCGCCCGCCGAGGCGTCACGCCACCACTTTATTTCGAGCCGGTGACGTCCGAACACATATACTACTCTGGCCTTGTCCTTCGCGCCGTCCTGCCCGCCCGCCCGCCGCACCGCGCCCGCCCCGCGGCCCTGCCCTTCGCCCTTCACTGGCTGCCGACTTCCGCGCGACAACCGGTGGCGTGGTGGCCCTTCAACCTTCAGGCCGGTGGTGGGGCCGAAGTGTCCCCGGGGGGCCGGGCGGGTCGGGGGGAGCCGCGAGCTGCTACTAAGCCGACGCGGGTGGATCTAAAACCCAATGCGACGCGATTAGGAAGCGTCCTCAAAGTCACTCGAGTGACCTTGTCGCCGGCCTGCGTGCCACAGGTAGTACACGCGCTCGTGCGCGGCCACCAGCGCCAGCCGCGTCGCGCCTTTCAGGAAATGTCCCAAGGTCTCGTCTCTAAAATCAATTTTGAGCCAGAGGAGCAGGAGCCGCCTGGCTGCCGGTGTGCCGCCGCCGGCCGAAGCGTCAGAGGATACGTTTAGCGTTTACGGCCGGCATGGTGGGGCGCGGGGCGAGGCGCGGGAGCCGCGGGAGGCGCGAGAACGCGCGCCCGTCCCCGCGAGCCGACCCCGCGACCAGGTTCGGCCGTCCGCCGCTAGGTGGCAGCAGGCGGCGCGCGCCGCCAGCGCCTCCACGGCTCGTGAGCGGGGACCCGCTGAAGCTCGCCCCCCCCCCCTCCCCCCATACGGCCCGCCGAGCGAGTTCGGCGCCCTCCTCACGGCGGCGGCGCGGGGCGCGGGGCGGCGACCCAACGCGACGCCGGGTGTCGCAAGGCGGGCTCGGCTCGGGCGTTGCCCCCGACACCGGCACCTTGCACTTTCTACTCGCCAATCAATCAACACGCTCCCGGCCCGTGCCGGTGCTTCCCCGGCTGCCCGCCGTCTGTCTCCCTCTCTGTCTCTGTCTCTCTCTCTCCCACCGTCCGCACTTTGCCCACTTCCGCGACTGCTCCACAATGATGGCGACGATGACGATGCGCCGGCCGACAGCAAGGCACCACTGGGGCCCTACTATCGCGCCGCGGAGCGGAGCAGCGGGAGCGGGGCGGCGTCGCGGCGACTAAAAGTAAAAGTGCAAGCATCACTTTCCCAGGCGCCGGTCCAGGGCGTAAGTGGCACAGTGACCCAGGCGGCGCCGTGGCCGCCCCGGCCCGCCCGCCAAGCCCGCCGGAGCAGCCTCCTGGACGCCGGCCGATTTCTCTGGCGCGCCGGCCGAACACTTTCACTGCTGCTCCGCGGGGCGGGGCGGGAACCACCACCACCACCACCATCCTCGCTCCACAAAACGGTCGCTCACCCGCGCGCAGGTCGTTCACCGCTGGTGCAAGAGTCCCCGGCTGCCGCCCTAACGACAGGAATCTCTCGTCCCGAGTCGAAGCCATCCTGTTGAGGGTATCTCTCCGTCAACCAAGTCGTTGTACGCATCCAAACCCAAACCAATATGTTTGGACCACAGAATGGCAACCTTACACTCGGCCCGGCACTGCACCCCCTCTCCGCCCTGGTCGCCCACTATAACCCGCTTCTTTCCTATCGCGGATGGAGACTCCCGTCGCCCACCTGCACCTCCGCGAGGCCAAGGACCGCGGCCCCGCGCACGGCATGTATTACCGCCCGACGAAAGGAAAAGTCCCTCCCGCGGCGCCTCGTCCCCATTGCAGGTCCGTGACTCCGCCGGATCTCTCCCCCTCCCTCACTCCCCGAGTCTCTCCTCGTTCACAGCCTCTCCCGGTCCAGCACGCGGCTTTCCCGTGTCATTGTACGGCGCGGAGGAGAGGGGCCCGCGGGGCCCCCGGGGCGGGCGGCCGAGCGCTCTCGCTCTCGTCGGAGAAAGTGAAGGTGTTGGGCGCCTCGAGGGGGGGCGAGGTCGTCGACTCCTGGCCTACTCGCGCCCCTCCCGGACCAGCTCACCGCTCCCACTGTTAGTGCAACACGCGGTGGCGGCGCCAGAGAGGCGTGGCGGGGCAGGGCGGGGCGGGGCGCCGGCCTCGCGAAAAGCGAAAGTGTTCCGACCCGACCGACTTAGCGTTCGACAACACCTTCAGCGCCGCCGGCTGTGACGCGCGAGTCCTTTTGCAATGGCCACTGCCCTCGCTGCGAGGTGAAGGGAGAGGGGGGAGGAGGGGGGTGACATCCCTGGCCCGGCGCGCGGTGCATTGCAATCTCGATCCGAAAGCGCCGCGACTTGGCTCTTGGCTTCCTCGGCGGGCGCCTCGAGGGGGTGGGAGACGACGGCGCGCCTCCGCGAGAAGTGGTCCACCGCGGGCCGTCGACCCCCCGGCGCGGCCGGGCGAAAGTGAGAGTGCGGTGCATTAAGGCCCTTGGGCAGGTGTGCCGAGCAGGGCGGGCCAACGACCTCCTCAAGCGGCGGCCAGGAGGTTTCACAAGCCACGTCCGGGCCAGCGCCAGCGCACCGAGGCCGCGGCCGACTCCTCGGCGGCGAGGGTGTGGGGCGGCGGCGGGCGGCCGGTGGTGCGACACTCGCTGCCCCCGCTCCCGCCTGACCCCTCGCGTTGCGACACGGGCCCAGCTTTGCGACACAACCGAGTGCTCCTTGTCGCCGTCCGCCCGCAGCTGGGCGTTGTCCTCCAAAGGCGCTTCGAACTCCGGTCGAATCCTTCTGTCTCTCTCCCCGCTTCTCTCTCTTTCTCTCCGAGCCAGGGCTCGCGCTCGCCTCGTCCCACTTTGGAAGGACAAAGACACAACGTAAATGGACCAAGGCGCTGAGCCCCCGCAGCCCCCACACCACACCAATTGACCAATCACCGGCCGTCGGCGCAGCGGGGCCCAGCGGCAGCAGCGGCGAGCCTAGAGAGCCCGATAGACAGAAAGAGAGAGGGGAGAGCTAGAGGGAGAGAGAGAGAGAGGGCGAGAACGAGGTGAACGAACGCTTTTCGAGTCACGGCGCCTCTGGCCTACAAACAGTCAGTCGGACCCGCGCGCCGCGAAGCGACCTCAGACAGAGAGAGGGAGAGAGAGAGGGAGAGCAAGAAGGTGCAGGAGGAGAGCGCGAGGGAGAGCGAGAGAGAAGGTTTTACGCAACGCGGAGTGAGAGTGTGTGGCGGGGGGCCGCGTTACGATACGCGCCGCGGCGGGGCGGGGTGCGGCGGGGTGTGGCGGGGCGTGGCGGGCTGTAGAGCAACTTTCAAATGGCCAAGCAGTGGCCGCCTGGTGGTGGCCGCTCAGCCACGCCGCCGGGCAGCTGCTCCACGTCACTCACTCGCTCACGTGCGTGCGTGCGCGTGTGCGTGCGTGCGTGCGTGCGCGCGCGCCTTGTGTTACGGAACGAGGCGGTGACCCACTCCGCACAGCCTTGGCGCCCCGTGGGACGCGGTGACCGGGTGAACAACCTCGCGCGCGCCGCCCTGCAGTAAGTGGGACAAAGCCAACCCTTGGTCGGCGCGCGCTCCCGATCGAACAGGGACACTACACGTATGTGTGCATCCTCCCGGCGTGAGGGCCGAGGGCCGCGGTGACCTACAATGGGTTGGGCTGCTTCGGGAGCGGAAGTGCCGCGGGTCTGAGGGCCTCCTCTCCCCCCGCCCGCCCGCCCGCGCGAGCCCGCGCGCCCTACTCACAAGGACGACGACCGAGGCGCGGCCCGGCGCGGCCCGGCTCGCGACCCTATTCGCGGGGTCGGTCACCGCTCCCGTGCTCCCATTCGAGCTCCCCCCTTCTCTCTCGCCCTCGCTCGCTCCCGTGTCCTTGTCTCGCTCCGTCTCTCTCGCTGTTCCCAATACGCTCGGCGGCGGAGCGATGCCGCAACTGGAGTCAACAAACCTCGCGCCACTGGCGGCCCGCGCTGCCTCTGTGCACGCGCGCGGGGAGGGAGAGGGGCCGAAATGCGTCACCTTGGTCCGGTGTGTCGCGTGTACTACTGATGCAACTGGATCAAGGAGGCGCGCGAGTTTACTCTTTGTGTCGGGGAGAATTGCAACAATCTTCCCAAAATTTCTTTCATGTCGCATTGGGCGAATGTATGGATCACCGAACGCGCCGAACTGTCCGTAGAAGATCAAAGAGTGAAAAGCCTTCTTCTACGGAAAGAGGTGAGCGATCGTCAAAGAGTGAAAGCAAGTCAAGTCTTTGGCCAAGCCAAAAAAATAAAATGAGAAATTTCGCGACCTGCCCAACTGGCGACCTCAGCACCAGTTGCGTGCTTGGAAGGGACGGCGGGGAGGGGGGC